ACCCATTGGTATGGTGAGGAGACTCACCTCTATCTGCTAAATCTAAAAGCTGCTCTCCTAATAGTCCGTGAACACCCTTGCTGAACAATAATACCATTACCTAAGGTTAGGGTTGAACATAATCCAATTGAAGAACCTAACCCTAAGTCCTTTAACAATGGCCCAAAAAGTCTTCCTTTGCTAATAGGCCCAAATTCCATCTCCAAAATCATTAATGGGCCTCATGGCCCAAAACAGATAAGTTGGCCCACTAACTCAAAACTTGACCAAGCTCAGTGACTGATTAAGGCCCAAAGGGCTCACAAGCCCAAAACAAGTCTTAGCTCACCTGACGTGCATACACCTTGCATACCACCCTGGTACGCGCAGCGTACTGAGTCCCTAACATGTACGCGTTGTGTATTCTAGGTTACGCCTCACATACAAACAAATTAAGCACCTTCTTACATTAAGTGCTTAATACTCGATGTTCTAACGTCTATTATCATATCTGAGCTCATTAAGACATCCTAGGGCATAAAGTTGGCAACTTTATGTCCTTGTGTAACAGCCCGAATTCCCAGGTATCTTCATTTCATATTTATGTCATTCTGTGAGGGGACTCGGCGAGTTGGTGGTCGAACTCGCCGAGTCGGGTCGCGTTTTGAGCGGGGGTTCGCATCCGGACTCGGCGAGTCCAAGGGATGGACTCGGCGAGTCCGCGCTGTTTAATGAAACCCTAATTTCCCGGTCCTAAGCCCTATTTAAAGGACCTTATGGCCCTCATATGCGGCCACCTTGAACCCTAAGAGCCTCCATACGTCTGTAAGCCCTTGTAAGTGTGTTTGAAGGCCTTTTGTTCATCATTTTGTGTGATATTGCAAGGAAAGGAGGGAGAGGAGCAAGCTTGAAGTGTTGGGGAGCTTAGATCTGTTGCTATTTCATCAAGGGGGTCTTCTTGAGGTAATTTTCTAAGCCAATCTTCGTGTTTTGTGTTGATGGGCCAAATCTAGGGTTTCTTCTTGCATTTCTTGGCTTGAATAAGAAGTATGAGAGGTCCCATGGAGACATGGAACCTAGATCTGGACTTAGGCAGGTCCAGGAGACCCCTCATGACAAGCTTTATGTCCATTCTTTTGAGTTAGAAGCTAAACTTGCCAAATAAGTGGTTGTTTCTTCAAAGGAAGCCTTGTATGCATTGCATGGCAACCAAGACTGAGACTTTACGTGACAAATAAGCTTGGGAAGGCCAGATCTATGTATGTATGGAACGGATCTGACCGCAAAAGCCAGTTTTAGGTGGTGCATGGCATGGACTCGCCGAGTCTGAAGAACAGACTCGACGAGTCGCTTGAAGATTGTCCTTGAGACCATCATGTGTGTAGTCCGGATCGAGTTGTGGGCGACTCAGTGAGTCGCAGAGAGTTGGAAAGGTTTTGACAGGTGGACCGAGTCAGATTGGGACTCGCCGAGTTGACCTTCGACTCGGCGGGTTGAGTCGCGGTGGCCCCGTGATTCAGGCCCAGGTGGAACTCGTCGAGTCGGGGGAGTACTCGACGAGTCAAAGGGAAAATTCTGGAGAGTTGGCAAAAACGCGTAGACTCGCCGAGTCACTATTGTGCACTCGTCGAGTCTGCTCCAAATTGTCTAAGGCTGCTGACCAAGTCAACCTGTGTTGACTTGATATGGATGGTCCACCTTAGTGGTACAAGTAATAATTAAAGATTTATAATATCATAGGAGGATTGCAGCTCGAGGGTTCGAGCCCGAGTGATTTCAGGATTCACGATTAGCGACTTAGCGAGGCAAACAAGGTGAGTCTTCTCACTATACTGTACCCGGAAGGGTTTTGACTATGTGACCGGAAGGTCGATTATGATGTATGCCTTATGTGTGTTAAGTTATTTGCTATATGTGTCATGTATGATATGTTTGATATGGGCCGGAAGGCGTGGTCATATGGACTGTAAGGGTTGACGTGGGAAGGACCGGAAGGTTTACCCAGTCGAGACGGAAGTCCCCTGAGACACATGGACCGGAAGGTCAAGGCCTGGAAAGGCGTATATGCGTATGTTGTATTTTGGGGAACTCACTAAGCTTTATGCTTACAGTTGTTGCATTATGTGTTTCAGGTACGAGTGAGGACCGTGGGAAGGCGCCAGCGTGACCGTACACACACTCGGGGAAACTATTTTATCTTTTGTTATGTAATCGGTTGTGACTACATTGTTATTTTGGAATCTAAACTATTTACTCATGTTTTGATGGTTGTAAAAATGAAAATTTTTGGTTGGAAATTTATGACGTTACACCTTGCATGCTATATGGGACTTAAGAACTTCATTCTTCACATTAGGACTTCATATAAAGCTTCAAACTCATGCTTGGAGTTGAGATACTCTTCAAGCTAGCACCTTTATGCATCTAGCATGCTCACAAAGCTCAAATCTAACCATTTCAGTCTCTGGAGTTGCTCAACTCTCAAGAGAAGGTCCAAAACCAACTAAAAGGACAATATAGAAAACCCTAGCTAGATCTAATGAATAAGATGGCAAGATCAAGACTTTATACCTCCAGAGGCTCTTCAAGGTGAACTAGATGCAGATTCTTGAAGCCCAATGTTACTCCAAGCTTGCTTAGCAATTCCTTTTTCTTGAATGAACTATAAAATGGCCACAAATACACTCCTTAAGCTCAAAAACACTCCCACAAGGGATCTCTGGTGTAAAAGGGTGAAATAAGTCTATGGAGGCTGATTAGGGTTTGATCTAAGAGGCTTAAGGGTGTTTAAATAGGTGTGAAGTCCGAGAATTAGGGTTTTGGCCCTCTGTCGCGTATGCCCTGCGTACCTATATGTATGGCATGCGTACGCGGCCACCCTCTGTGTTCATGCATCCTTAGTATGCTAAGCGTACTCCCGGAGTATGCCCCGCATACTAAGGGACCTTTTATGACATCTTTTATATTTCAAGGGTCTAAAGAGTAATACATGATTTAGAGTGTTATAAATACCATGTTAACAAGTCAAATTGTATTGCATTAATGCCGAAGGGTATACTCGACAAACCACGAAGTATGGAGAGCTTCAGGTAAGCAAACAATACCACCACAAGCCACTGTTGTGGTCATTGGTGTATTCCTAGAGAAGAAGTGAGGAAAAGAGAAAAAGGAAGAGGGTTGCAAGAAAAAAGGGAAAGGAAGAGAGAAAAAGAAAGGGATTGGTTCATTGCCCATGTCACATACCATGAACCACCATAGTTGTGGCATTGGGGATGGTATGCATGATTTAGCCCACCATGCCACTTGGCCATGACAATTGATTGTGGTTTGTACCTGAGGGATTAATGTATCAATGACATGTTTATATTTTGCTCTTGTACTTTTTTTACGTAAATTTATATATTACTATTTTAAAATATATCTTTTTACCTACATTAACAATTTAAATACACATTTATAGTTAATTCATAGAATACACTGTCAAGCCATAACCCTTTTCATTATGTGTTTTTATGTTTATTTACCGTGTCAATTGTCAATTCTCGGTCATTAAAGGGTTTTGGTAATTCAGATTAATATTTATTTACAATATAAATAAATTGGATCTTTAATTTAATAATATCTTACCACCATAAGTATGGAATCTTGACCTATATTAATTAACCTGAATGAGGTTTATACGAGTGAAGAAAATTATAAAATATTATTTATATTGTGTTTGACACATTAACTGAAAAACTAGCCTTTAGGCTATCATATATGGGTGGTGAAGACTACAAATGATGAGAGGGAAGGAATTCTCTATTTTTCCTCTTCCTCCTCTCTTTCTCTCTCCGTGTCTCTCTTGACGAAGGATTCCATGTGTGAACGCCGCCTCAGGCGGCAGAATAGTATTGGTGGAATGTGTTGTGATGAGGTGGCATCTCATACACGTGTTTATAATGAACAACCTATAAACTAGTTATCTCAAGTAACTTATTAAAATGATAGCATATAAGATACAATAAACTACTTTTATGATATTACAAAACACTAATTGCAATAAACTTAAAAAATAAAATAGTTTATGTTTGTCAAGTCGAACCTTAAAGTTCAAGGAAAGCCTAAAAATACGAACAATGGCACCATCGTTCCCGCCACCACACCACCAGACTACCGTTACACTACTAAACAATCATCACACAACATTTTTATTTCTCTTATCGGTTTGAATGGTAAAACACCATAAAAATCTTACCTCTATTGTAATTGTGAGAAAGTGCAGTGAAGTGAATGTGATTGGTTAGGGGCAACGAAGGAAACGATAAGGGAATGGATTAGATCCATACATATTATTAAATATTTTTTCTTAATAAACACATAAAAATATATGAAGGGTAGTATTGTCATTTTAAGTCATTTAGGGACCAAGACCATGGATGTTCCGAGTTACAAAAACATTTAAGGACCACGCGTACATATTAGCCAAACCATATGGACCATTCTTGTAATTTACCCTTACCTATAAAAAGCTGTTACACACATACATGCCGCATATTCAAAATACATTGATCAGATTCGAAGTCTCCCGCCACCTATCACCGTCTCGGTCGGCCGTCACAGCCTTCCTGTAAGTTCAGTCGAGCTTTTTTTCTTCAGGCAAATCCAAGTACTTGCTTTAGCAGCCGCCAAATTTCCAGTTTTTCTTTTGTATTAAATTCATCAACGTGTGTTTCCTCAAGTCGGATTGATGATTATTAATTTCGGGTCTCTACCTTAATTACCGAAACGAAGACTTTTATTCGGGATTTCTATGGTGGGAAAAAAGGGTTTCGCAGAAATTATCTTTAGGTTTTGGATATAGATGTGATGTGGAGAAGGAATCATACATAGAATCAGACGAAAAACTTACATTTTCCATTATTACTGTATCTATGAACTTATAAAAAAATTATCGTACATGAATGAAGGTTTAACACGGGACTTGAAGATCAAGAAATTTCAAGCCCTTGTCTCACACTGATACAGAGACGAAGGAAAAAATGGCAATAGATCCAACTCCATTACCTGAGTCTGCTCCTTCTTGGTTCACTCCCAAAAGGTACACGTACATTCATCATGTTTCATCTCTTTTCCCCTTTTCACTTCTTGATTAGATAAAAAAACAAAATCCAGCTAACTAACGTGGGAATTCACACAATGCACAGGTTGCTTGTGTTTTTCTGTGCGATCAACATGATAAATTATATAGATCGAGGAGCAATTTCCACTAATGGTGTAAATGGGAGCCCTAGAACTTGTTCAGAGATTAATGTGTGTTCAGATGGTAGCGGAATTCAGTAAGTCGTTATCTTTATAACATCATTAGTCGTCATATGTTCTTTATACTTTTTTTTTTTTTTTTTTTTTTTTTGTCAAAAGGGGTGATTTCGATCTAAGCAATTTTAAAGATGGTATTCTAGCTTCTGCTTTCCTGGTTGGACTTCTTATTGCATCTCCAATATTTCATCCTTAGCCAAAAGGTAGTTTCTGTCTTTCTGAATCATTAGCTAAAGCATCACATGACTGATATTTTATATATATTTTTTTTGTGTATATGAGCACAGCATTAATCCTTTTAGACTTATTGGAGTTGGATTGTCGGTGTGGACACTTGCTGTAGTTGGTTGTGGGCTTTCGGTTGATTTTTGGTCAATCACTATCTGTCGAATGTATGTTGACCATTTTACCCTTTCAAACACCATCAACCTTCATATATTTTATGTCTTTTTTTTTTGGTGTAACTGAAATATTGTTGTTTTTAGGTTAGTTGGTGTTGGTGAAGCTTCTTTTATAGGTCTTGCAGCTCCATTCATTGATGAAAATGCTCCAGTAGCTCAGGTTCTCTTTCTTACCTGCTAATATTATCCTCCACATTTATATGTTTTGTGTTTCTATTTTTTTTTATTAATGTAATTAGCAAATTTGCAATAGCTATAAACTTAGATCCATTTTGTTTTGTAGAGAACTGCATGGCTGGGAATATTCTGTATGTGCCTACCTATTGGAATTGCTGTTGGTGATGTCTATGGTGGATTGGTATGCCACTATATTTTATACGACATGATAAGATGGGACAAGACAAGCATTCTAGGGATCTTTTTATGATGAGGGTATTCATGTCTTTTGTATAGACGAGATGTCGCATCTTGTCAAGCCTTTTTGGTTTGTGACAAAAATTTGCAATTTTTGTTCCATTCACATCAGTCTCAGTCAAATGCATTTTTATAGGTTGGAGCTGGTTTAGGTTGGCGATATGCATTTTTCGGTGAAGCAATTCTTATGCTTCCATTTGCTATTTTGGGTTTTGTAATGAAACCTTTGCAAATGAAAGGTACATTCATTAATAATTCACATTTAATTAGTATTTTATGATGGGAAACCTTCATTAAAGTCCTATTATTTTATCCTAATTTACGAATAAGTCAAAAACTAAAATTTGTTTACGAAAAAGCATGAATTACCGGTAAAAGTGTTGATTTGGCCCCTTTTTTCCCAGTTTCATTGTTGATGTTGATACCTAGTGATTAAACGAGATGGGAAACTTTTCATTAAATGATTTGATTAGATGGATATCAAGTTTTACGGTAAATGTAGCATTATATAAATCATCATATCCATCTCATCAGCTCATTTAATGGCTAAACGTTTATATTAACAATATAACCTGTAAAATGTGTGTTATAGGGAGGACCACATCATAAACAAATTATAGTTTGAAACTTATTCGTAAATTATGGTAAAATATGAGACTTTAATGGAGATATCCCCATCTCATTTAATGATTAGGTATCCATGTCAGCAATGAAACCAGTAAACCGAGATAAAATGGTCAAATCGTCACTTTATCTTACTGGTAATTCATGTTTTTTCATAAACAAATTTTAGTTTGGAACTTATTCGTAAATTAGGCTAAAATAATGAGATTTTAATGGAGATTTCTCTTTTGTTAGCATAAAAATAACACTTTTTTTTTCACCATGGTTTAACAAGTTCTATGTTTATGTAGGTATTTCTAATGCTAAAATCATCCCAGGGTTCTTAAATGAAGAGCTCTTAAAGAAAGATTTTTCCAGGTCTTCCACAAAGGAATAGCATATAAAGTTACATCCATAAAACATGTTTTATATTCTTTACACTGGCATTTTTTTTGCAGCTATGTTTCATTTACTTTAAATCAGTTATCAAGATTTGGGCAAGATATGAAGGCTCTTTTGAGTGAGAAAGTATATGTTGTAAATGTTCTAGGTAATTAATATGCTTAAATCTTAACTATTGTTCTCACTCAATTTATTATTTGCTGATTTTCTACTTTTTAATGGCTTTTTAGGTTACATAGCGTATAATTTCGTCATTGGTGCATATCAATACTGGAGCCCAAAAGCTATTTATGGCATATATGAAACGGTAACAACATTTTATATATAAGCTGAGACTGTTATGAAAGAAATAAAAAATCTTTAGGCTTCCAAAGTGTTAATTTTGGATTTTTCATATTTTTTAGGACAATGCTGATTTATTATTTGGAGGAGTCATAATTGTTGGTGGAATTGTGGGGACAATAGGAGGAAGTGTTCTTTTGGATCACATGAATTCCACAATCCCCAATGCTTTTAAGGTAGATATTTATATTTATTAATAATATTTGAAGGACATGACAAAACAAATTGTATTATGTTTTGAGATTAGAAGCAAGACCGGTGTCAATGGGACATATCAAATTTTGTCCCACCCAAGAAACCTAGGGTGGGAAATTTGTGGTTTATATGAATTGATTGAATATATCTATATCTTCTACTCTAAAAAATAAAAATATTTTTTTTGCTATATGTCATATTCGTATTCATTTTAGCACATGTTATTTTGTGGTTATTTTAAGTTAACTTTTTTTTCCACATGATATTTTGTGGGTTTTTTTATATTCCGTATAATATTTATATGTAACAATTATAATAATAGATAGATAGATATCACTTTCATTAATGCAAACTTTCCTTTTAATTTTAAATTTTCAAAATTAGTTTAATGACATAATTTACTACAATTCATTATTAATACCTATGACATAATAAAATTCAATTTTGAATTTGATTTTATGCTATGTACAAACAAGGTCTCAACGATTACTATAGTGACATAATTAACTACAAATTATATTCAGTTATAACCTGTTTACATTTTTAACATTTTAAGAGTTGTAAGCTATCTTAATGATTTAATATTAACATATCTTTTAATTTGGTTTCATTTTTATACTACCTTCATTGTTCCAAATGGAAACAAACTATTAGCTTTAGATATACATAAAATGGAAAAGGTTAAATATTGTTTCAAAAACCTTAATGTCCCGTTTGTTGTATTAAAAAAGTGATATTGAGTAAATTAACCATTATAAACGAGTTTTTTAAAGAAAAATAACCCTTTAGAATTTGATCTTCAAATGTTGGAGTTCTTTTTTGTTTTTCCAATTTTTTTTCCAAAGAAATCTCTATAATTATGTCTGAAATGTCTATTTCGAATTGTTTAATATCATAGTTTTCAATCTATTATTTGATTTCATGCCCTAATATTGTATATAATTCCCATTTACTATATGTGTTTAACTTTTTATTGGATTTGAGTAAAAATGATTTTTTGCTCGAAATTTCGGAACTGTTTGTTGGATTTCAGACTTGTTCTTAAAAATTCGGAGTTTTTGAGACAACTAATGTTCACTCATTGATAGTAATACATATGTTGCATTATCTAGAGTTAAAAATATAGATGAATTAAAAATATTAATTTTAGATAATGATGGTAAATTTAGCAATAGAACATCTAATGTTGTATTCAAACGAGTTTTTCAAAATTTGTGATTCAGATCAATTCTTTAAAATATGTACATAGTTTTCTTTTATTAATATAGATTAAGTAATTATTTTAGTCGTATTTATTTCAAAATTTTACTTTAAAAATGCTTGATCTTTAGATCTTTATATATAGCTTTTTTTTTTATCCAAATGTGTAATATACAGGTCTCACAACTATATATATATATATATATATATATATATATATATATATCTTTTGCAGTTACTTTCTACAGCAGCATTTTTTGGAGCAATATTCTGCTTTAGTGCCTTTTGTTTTAGCAGCCTATACGTTTTCTTGGTTCTCTTTTTAATTGGGGTGATTCTTATATTTGCCATCCAGGTAATTAACTTGTTACTTATTTGAATTAACGTGAAAGCAAGTAATAACAATGAAATTTCATTGATTTTTTTTCTTATAGCATTCTACTTTCATTTCTTCCTATTACTACTTTGTACTTTGAAAAGAAAATTAATTTATAGTTATATCTTCCTAGTAAAAAAACAACTTTCATTGATATATGCTAAGCCACCCATGCAGTTTACTTGTAACAAAGGGATAAAACATGAAAGATAACTAAAGAATAAGCTTCGGGGGTAAAGGGTATTAAGTAATTTAGTAATGAATTTGTAGTTTAGGAATAGAATGGTCGTTTTTAAAGTAGGAGCTAGACAGTTGTAACATCGTAGTTTTTTAACACCATTTTATATTGATAAAAATGTGCTTTTATAAAACTTTTTAATCATTATCAGAGTTTACAGCCTCGGTGTTACAAAACTATATCAACAACTATAGTAAAAGAGAAAATGATTAAACAACCTTCTCTATTCCTTTCGTCATTGTCACTGGTTGCACTCTCCTCTTCCACTTCTATTCCTGAGTGCATAAGACATTTAAACAAACACGTCGTAGAAAGTTCTGGTGAGCTACATGGGTTTTGACACATACTCTCATTCTTTTCTTTATTTCATACACTTAAATATTCTTTACACAAAGAAGCACATAAATCATAGCAACTAGAATCCTAGCAAGTACATAAAGAAGCACTTAAATCATAACCCAAACGTGTTACACATATGTCCTGTGTCCTACTGTTAGGGACTAATTTAAGACAGATCTATGCTGCTACATGAAAACATGCCGCAATACTCTATCATACTGATGTTAACCCATGAGAATCCGGTATTGGGAACCAATAAGGCAATCTAAGACTTCCACATATGCTCCTTATTGAGATATGGATTTTCTTTATATCATTTATTTCTTTTTTCTTCTTTTTACATTTTCCACTATATAATAGCATTTTACACCATCTATTCCATCTACTTTTCATTAAGATTTTAGTAAACATTCACATCTAATATTTATCATATAGCTTTTCCGTAAAGCCCATAATAAATGTATACATGCCCATGCTTCTTGCCCCAACCAACTCTCTATAGAGCTAATATTAAAATTCACATATAGGCTTATGCCATCTCATTAATAATTACTAAATGGCTGTTGAGCTCATCTAAAGCTCCCATCACCCAATTATATATCATACAATCTATCGATTTATCAAACAACCAACAATGTCCCTTTTTTCCTTAACCAAGGAAGACGGGACTTATATTCAACAATACATTTATCAAACTACATCATTTACTTTACTATGTACCCAGAAAATCAAAATGTACTCACATGAGTAGTTTCAGTTTATCATCTTGCCAAAACCTATTTGGGTAACGTACCAAACCTCTTACAATCATATAAACCTACTATTACATCTACGATAAGGGCTCATTACCCGAGTCTAGTAACCATTCGTTACCAAACTTGTCAAATCCGACATCATGTTTACTAGACAACTTAACCCCGACAATGTCCACATAATATAACTCTAGTGTTTATGGGGATTTATCCTGACACACACATGAAATACATAAATTATATGACTTAAAGCTTACCCTTAACGTTGGTATCGTGAAAATCAAGGCTGGTAACAATCGCCGGGCCTCCCGTGAGCGTAATCCCTTTAAACCTTCACTTCCATCTACCCTTCTGGCCTCCTAATGTTTCTTGGCTTAAAAGTGATGAAATAGAGGCCTTAAATACATAAATTTTTTATAATTCGCTTGCTCCGTGCCAAGGTTTCGCAACAATTTTGTCTCAACTTCGGATGACCATAACTGTCTAATACGGACTCCGATTTTAACAAACTTTATATCCACACGACCAGATCAGAGTCAACAAAAACTATCCTTTAACAATCGCTTACAAAAAAACTTATAAATCTTCTTTTATAATGCAATAAGTACAAGGGTGTACATCTTACATTACCAAAAACTTCACCCTACCACTATGCGAGTTCACCCTTGGATGTATTTAAACCAAATTCATCTTATAACACATAGTCTGAGATTTTTTGGTCATTAAAACTCTCTTTTGTTACTTATTCACTAATAAACTTTACATTTTCTGTTAATCCATTGCTTATGAAGTAAAGATTTTCCAGTCGTTATGTTGCGGGTTATCTTTTCGGTTATTAGAGAGTTCCTCTCTTGTGGGAGATCCTTGGCTTCTCGAACTGCTACACTTGTAATTTCAATCCTTTTTCAAACATTAGAATATCAATATGTTCTTGTTTCTTCAATTCAATTGGTGATTTCACTTGCTGACTTTGGGAGATCTTAGCAAAGTGGTATCAGAGAAATTGGCGCTTTTGACTACGAATTGGCGAACTCAGGTTATGCAATTCATACAGGATGGAATTACAACTACTCTCAAAGGAGACCCGACGCTGGAATGCTCTCAAGTTAGCTTAAAGAATATGATGCTGACATTGAGGCATACCTTGGAAAGATATGTAGTTTAAGTTAATCAGGTTACAAATTAGGAAAAGGTGGGCCATATTTCAGAGTTTCTATCAGCAATATATATATATATATATATATATATATATATATATATATATATATATATATATATATATATATATATATATATATATATATATATATATATATATATATATATATATATCATCACCTTTTTAACATGTCGGAAGGACTACCCCCAATAAGAGGGAGAGAACATGTCATTAGACTTTAGGACGTGACTGAACCATTGAGTGTGAGATTGTATCGGGACCCACAATTCCAGAAGTGGAGACAAGCAAACTTACTAGGAAATATTGATAATTGGCATCATTCAGCCCATTTTCAAGTCTAGTTCTTTTGGTGAAGAAGACTGGTGTGTGGATTATCATGCCTTGAACAAAGTGACGATAACCAATAAGTATCCAATTCGAGTGATTGAAGAGTTATTAGATAAGTTACACGTGTCACAATTTTTTGCTAAATTGGATCTGTTTTATCCATGCTTAATTTCAAACAGTCTGTTTGTAGTCCAACTGACACATCCAATTGGGTTGTATTATTGAATAGGGTTAGGGTCAGCTCTCGCCTCTAAGAAAGCACAAACAGGAAAAGTTTTGTGAGTTATTTTCTTTTGTTTGGAGATCCCCTGAGTCTCGAATATCATGCACTTAGCAGTGTTTTTAATCATTAAGTTATAAGTAATTGAGTTTGTCATATGAAATTGGTATCAGAGAAACGATTTTGGCATAATTCACTCTTCATCGAGCACTGCTCACACTCGGAGCACTGTTTACGCCTTATTGTTCATTTGTGCACTATTCATCAAATTTATTAATCAAATCCGTCAATTCTAGCCATGGCACCGAAAGTTGATACCACTACCAATACACATAGCAAGGTCTTTGATCTTGAGGAGGGTTTTGAAGATTTCCCAACTCAATCAGTAAAACGATTTGAGAAGATGGAGATCTTAGATTTATAACCAGAGAGATTTGTCAAAATATAATGTCCAGAGAAGAAAAAAAATGAATATACAATTCCATAACTAGATAGTTTTTTCAAAGTACACTGCTTTAATTAAAAAAAAGTTAAAAGTACAATGTTGTTATAGAAATAGATAAAAGTAAGTTGATACTTCTTACGTTTAGCTATTTGAATACTATCATCTATGACAGTTATATTATTTAGATTATGACAAAAACTCAAATAAATAAATAAAAACAGGGTCCTGTGAATTTTGTATGTCTCCATGCTGTTAAACCAAGTTTACGACCATTGTCGATGGCAATTTCTAGTGTGTCAATTCGCATCTTTGGTGACGTGCCCTCCCCACCACTTTTCGGAATCCTACAGGTTTGGAAATTATTTATTTATTTATTTATTTATTATTCATTTTGAATTTATCAACGATTCCTAATAGTTTTATCTGTAACACTAACAGGACAAAGTTGATAATTGGAGAACATCTGTTTGGATCTTAAATTCAATATTGTTTTTGTCAGCCGGAATATGGTTTATAGGTAAAGAGCATTTTTGTCTTTTTACACAAATGAAATGAAAATATTTTCTTGATGTGGTTCGTTTGTTTTTTTTAGGTATATTTCTTCCTAGTGTGGATAGATATGAAGAAGACAGTGAGCATTTGGGGACACGTGTTGAGCAGCCAGATGTGACACCGTTGCTTGAATCTAAGGTGACTAATGAAGATACTACTTCTGCTGTTTATAAAGGAAAAGGAAAAACGAAAAGATTGTTGTAGTTGACATATGGTATAGTATACTCACAGATGTGGTATACTCATAGTGTGATTTACCACTTTGTGTATTGTAAAATATATTTTTTTCTCTGTTTTTTTATACGGATAAAAACAAATATTTACTTAGTCATAGACTAAGGGAATGTTTGGCTTAGCTTTTTAGAGGATAATTATTATGCAAAGTTTTCTCTTTATTTTATTTATGATAATTATTACAAAACTTAATAGACATTTTTAAAATTTTACAATTGGTCATTATGCAAAGTTTCATAAAATTTCACAAATGATCCTTATGGGAACTTAACGTCGATCTGTATACATAAGGACGATTGACGTGTCAACTTCTGTCAAAAGGAACCATTAATGCAAAAAGAAAAAAATCATAATGACCGTTTGACGGAATTTCTTAAACAAAAATGATAATTCGTGAAATTTTGTCTTATATTTATGATTTATAAAAAATAAAAAAAAAAAAAAAAAAAAATCGGTGCAATTTTTTTTTTTTTTTTTTGGATTTTGACATTTTATGGTAGTAGAAAATATAAATCTTCTGAGGTTAAAAAAAAGTAACCATAAATTTTGACAATATGTTTTTTGATTAATTTTTTGGGTTGATGGTATATAAAATTATCCAAATTTTATAATTCTAATCATCTAAAACAATAAAATGATAAATATAAAAATAAAATATTTTATTATTACAATACAACAAAGTTTTATACAATATTATTATGTCTAAAATCATTTGATGATGTGATAATGTATTAAAATGAGAAATTTAGAAAAATTAGTATGGTGAATGGAATGACGATTGACGTGTCAACTTCTGTTAAAAGGGACCATTAATGCAAAAAGAAAAAAAAATCATAATGACCGTTTGACGGAATTTTTTAAACAAAAATGATAATTCGTGAAATTTTGTCTTATATTTATGATTTATAATAAAAAAATCTGTGCAATTTTTTTTTTTTTTTGGATTTTGACATTTTATGGTAGTAGAAAATATAAATCTTCTAAGGTTAAAAAAAAGTAACCATAAATTTTGATGATATGTTTTTTGATTAATTTTTTGGGTTGATGGTATATAAAATTATCCAAATTTTATAATTCTAATCATCTAAAACAATAAAATGATAAATATAAAAATAAAATATTTTATTATTACAATACAACAAAGTTTTATACAATATTATTATGTCTAAAATCATTTGATGATGTGATAATGTATTAAAATGAGAAATTTAGAAAAATTAGTATGGTGAATGGAATGACGATTGACGTGTCAACTTCTGTCAAAAGGGACCATTAATGCAAAAAGAAAAAAAATCATAATGACCATTTGACGGAATTTTTTAAACAAAAATGATAATTCGTGAAATTTTGTCTTATATTTATGATTTATAAAAAAAAATCGGTGCAATTTTTTTTTTTTGGGATTTTGACATTTTATGGTAGTAGAAAATATAAATCTTCTGAGGTTAAAAAAAAGTAACCATAAATTTTGACGATATGTTTTTTGATTAATTTTTTGGGTTGATGGTATATAAAATTATCCAAATTTTATAATTCTAATCATCTAAAACAATAAAATGATAAATATAAAAATAAAATATTTTATTATTACAATACAACAAAGTTTTATACAATATTATTATGTCTAAAATCATTTGATGATGTGATAATGTATTAAAATGAGAAATTTAGAAAAATTAGTATGGTGAATGGAATGACGATGTGAAAATTCATTAAATTTTAGTAAAGTTTAATGAAATGTAATGTAGTACAGTAAGTGGAATCTCGATGACAAAACAATAACAATAAATTAAAAAGAATTTTTGTTAAGGTGAAATGAAAAGTGGTTGTTGAAGAAATTGAATCTGGGAAGATGGAAGAAAATGAAAAACAGAAAAATGTTAGAACAATATGATTCTGGAATTAAAAAGGTAGTGATGAATTAGGAAGTGAAACCAAGGTTAAATGAGAATATAAATAAATAAATAAAGATGAAGGAATTTTATTTTAGTTGTAAAAAATAACTGAGAATTGTTGTAAATGTAAAACATGGAAAGTTTTACGGGAGGCATAATGAGTTTTTATGGTAAGAGTAAAAAATGCATTTGTTTCATTAGAAACAAGTATTATATGTATAGTTGATGGGGATGAATGGAGGGTTTTTACTAGTGACGGCACAATTGAAGCAACTGATCAGGCCATATCCTTCCAAGGTGATGGTTATTTTAAGAGAATGAGATATTGTGGATTCATGGTACAATAATGGCCGGTGGTTAGGGAGGCTTGTGGAGAAGAAATGGAACAAATGTGTTGTGCACTATGATGGAACAAGCTATTTATGTGTTTTTAATCTTGAGGACCTTCGAATTCGTAAGGAATGGAATGATCCCATATATCGGTGGTATCTAAAATAAACTATGTAACTATATATATATATATATATATATATATATATATATATATATATATATATATATATATATATATATATATATATATATATATATATATATATATATATATATATATATAACTTGTTTTTGTTTTTTTACATAAAAGAAAATCCATAAAGAAGTAGCAAAAATCACACAATTTGAATGAAAGAAACACATAAAGCTAAAAAAAAGAAAAAATTAAAGAAGAAATACCTCAAGACATAAAGAGCATTCCCAATTCACCAACAAGAAATATGATTTTATTGTTCATCTAGGGGATTTGTGAAGATATTAGCGAGTTGGTTTGTAGATGGATCAAACATCAATCCACTCTTCATTTTTTAACATTGTCCTTGATGACATGATGTCGAATCTCGATGTGTTTAGTCTTTGAATGTTGAACCAAATTCAGGGAGATAATTATGGTGCTAGTATTGTCACAACATATGGGAGTTTTGGAGATCTTAAAGTCATAATCCTAAAGTTGGTTTTGAATCCATAGGATTTGAGCACAACATCTTCCAACGACAATGTATTGTGCTTCAAAGGTTGAACATATCACTGATGATTGTTTGTTGTTAGACCAGCTGATAAGTTTGTTGCCCAGAAGTTGACAACCTCCATATGTGCTCTTTTTGTATATAGTGTATCTTGCATAATCAGAGTCATTGTAACCAACTAAATTAAATTTAGAATTACAAGGATACCATAGCCCAAGATTTAGGGTGTGCTTCAGATAGCAAAAAATTCACTTAGCAACCAAAAGATGTGATTCTTTTGGATTAGCTTGAAAGCTAGCACACATGCTGGTAGCAAATATGATATTAGTACAACTTACGGTTAAGTAAAGTAGTGGACTAATCATTCCCATGTAGAAGAAGAATTCACATTTTTCCCTGACTGATCAACATATATTTTCAGTGTTAGGGATATTAGAGTCTTAGAAGGTTTGCAATCAGCAAAAGAGAACTTCTTCTGCATATCGGAGATGTACTTGCTTTGATTTATGAAAATTCCTTTTGATTGTTGTTTGACTTGAAGACCCAAAAAGAATGATAATTCACCCATCATACTCATTTCGAACATTCTAAACATAATATCTCCAAACTCCGGTCCATAATTGGTGAGTCGCTTGTAGATCCAAATATAATACCATCTACATATACTTGAACACGAATAATGTCAGGACTTGATTACTTGATAAACAATGTGTTGTTAATGGATCCATGCTTGTATCCATTTTCAAGAAGACATGTCATACCATGCCTTAGTAGCTTGCTTCAGTCCATAAACGACTTTTATCCAAATGGTAAACATGATCACGGAAATCTTCATTTTCAAAGTCAGGCGGTTGCTTTAGAAAGACTTTTTGTTGGAGATCTCTACGGTGAAAAGCATTCTTGACATCTATCTGTAAACTTTGAAATTAATGTAAGAAGTATAAGCAAGAAAAAGACTAATAGCTTCTAACCTAGTTGTAAGAGAAAAGGTTTTATCATAGTCCAAACCATCAAGTGGGGTAAAACTCTGAGCCACGATCCTTGGCTTATTTAGAATGACCAGTCCATCTTCATCCATATTTTTGCGATAAACCTAATGAAAACCAACATTTGTCTTTCCTTTGGAAAAGGTACTAGAGTCCATACATTTTGCCTTTTGAAAATGAAGTTTATCTTGCATTATTTTTATCCATTTTGCATCCTTCAAGGTTTCATCAATCTTCTTGGGTTTAACTAAAGAGACAAAGTTGACAAATAGGCAAAAATTTCTTGTGACCTAACAATGTTAGGGTGCAAAGTCATACTTGGATGTGGCTTTACCCACTTGTGTGTGTAATGAGTTGTATTTCCTTTATAAGGAAGTGAGTGGCACTCATTTTATGTAATGAACCATTTGGAGTGTTAGACTAGAGAGAGAAATTGTGTACAAACCCATTTGTATAATCTTTCTAGACCTAATATGAGCTTACATAGATTTATTTACTCCTTGTGTTCTTGATTTTACATGTTGATTCACTAGATCTTTCATATTCTGCACATGTCATCTTATTCAACACCACATCAATTGGTATCAGAGCGGGTGTTCTTGATTGGATCAAGAATTGTCCTTGATGGCTATCTTGATTTGGTGATTCTTTTTGTTCATTGATCTTCATGATTTAGAGAGTTTTTGGATTCTAGAAATCGAATTCATCTTTGATTCTATTCAAAATTCAATTTTCTTCACTAGAATTCAAGTGATTTTTACTTTCTCTCTCTTGAAAACCCATTCAAAATCACTTTCTCTCTCTAGAAATCTTCAAGTTTTTGTAATCATGGTGAATTTGCCTTACAATTCTTGGATTGTGATTGTTGAAGGTATCATATACAAAGTCAATAAAGATCAATATTATGGGTTGGTGTTACACAAGTTGATCTTTTGGGAAACTATGGTTTCTTATGGAGGATTGAAGGATGATCATGGAAGCTTGAAATTTCAACCACTTTGTGAGATCAAATCGTTGACTGATATTACATGGTCCATAACAACACGTAGTAGTGATAAGATTGAAGAAGAAAAATATTTGTTCAAAAAGAAATATGTTTCTCTTATTGAAGACCCAAATGATCTTCGTGCTCTTACGGTTGTCAAAGTTCTTGACAATGGAGTTCAATGTGATGTTCTTGATGTTCAAGAAAAAGGAGTTCAAGTTGATTTTCAAGATGAAAAAGTTTTTTGCTCAATTGGAGTTCAAACCAATGATATTGTGTTCTTATGATTCGTTTGAAGGAATGATTCTGTATCGGAAGCCGGTGATTCAAGAA